GGAAGGCGAGGCAGTGCCTCACAAGGTTAGTGCGTGCATTCTACTCTCATCCAGTTTCCTTGCTCTGCTTGTTGTATGTACCAATACGGTCCATAAATCTTTATCGAAGAAACTCACGTTACTGGCGCGTCTAATATGTAAAAGCCCTTTGTAATAAGCACTGGGTTATGTATGTAAAATGTCATCATCATCATCATCATTACAGCCCTTCACAAGTCCACTGCTGAACATAGGCCTCCCTCAAAGAATGCCACAAAGCACGGTCCTGAGCCACCTTCATCCATCGACTTCCTGCATATCTTACCAGGTCGTCACTCCATCTAGTGGGGGGACGCCCTACACTTCGCCTGCCGGTACGAGGCTGCCACTCGAGAACCTTTCTTCCCCATCGGTTGTCGGTTCTTCGAGCTATATGGCCGGCCCATTGCCACTTCAGCTTACTAATCCGTTGGGCTATGTCGGTCACTCTAGTTCTACTGCGGATATCCTCATTTCTGAGTTTATCACGCAGAGAAACTCCGAGCATAGCCCTCTCCATAGCTCGCTGAGCGACCTTGAGCTTCCTTATCCGGCCAGCAGTAAAGGACCACGTCTCAGTTCCGTATGTCATCACTGGCAACACGCACTGGGTGTACAGTCTCGTTTTCAAGTTTTGAGGTATACCTGACGAGAAGATGTGCCGTAATTTCCCGAACGCTGCCCAACCGAGTTGAATCCGTCGATTGACCTCTCGGTCGAAGTTGGACTTACCTAGTCGGACTATTTGTCCCAGGTAAACATACTCGTCAACAACTTCGAGCTTAGTGTTCCCAACAACTACCGGCATAGGTGTGACATGGACATTAAACATGATCTTTGTTTTGTCCATGTTCATCTTAAGACCTATCCGTTGGGAAACACTATTGAGGTCATTGAGCATAGTGCTTAGGTCTGGCGTAGGTCTAGGTAGGCGGTTCTGCCATAAGGACTATATCGTCGGCAAATCGAAGGTGAGTGATGTACTCGCCATTAATGTTGATACCGTATCCTTTCCAGTCCAGAAGCTTGAAAACATCTTCCAATGCAGCGGTAAAGAGTTTCGGGGATATGACGTCACCCTGTCTTACACCTCTCTGCAATTGGATAGGTTTCGTACTCTGGTTCTGTACTCGGATAGCCATCGTAGCCCTACTGTACAAGCACTTCAACACTTCGATATACCGACAGTCAACTTGGCATCGCTGAAGGGACTGCAGCACCGCCCAAATTTCGACGGAATCAAAGGCTTTCTCATAGTCCACATACGCCAAACATAGTGGCAAATTGTACTCTTCGGACTTCTGTACGATTTGCCGAAGGGTATGTATGTGGTCTATGGTGCTAAAGCCTTTTCGGAAACCGGCTTGTTCGGGAGGCTGGAAGTCGTCAAGTCTGCGCGCGAGACGATTCGTAATGACTCTCGAAAACAGCACGTAGACGCGGCTCAGAAGGGAAATCGGTCTGTAGTTCTTCAAGAGAGCGTTGTCACCTTTCTTGAAGAACAAGACCACCGCACTTCTGCTCCACGCCTCCGGTGTAATGCCACCATGGAGGACGGAATTAAAGAGCTTCTGAAGGACTTCAAGTACCGGTTTTCCACCTGCTTTCAGAAGCTCCGCTGTAATTCCATCCTCGCCTGAGGCCTTGCCGTTTTTAAGGTGCTGGAGAGCCTTTCTGATCTCGCTCAGACTGACGTCCGGGATATCATCGGAATAATGTCGGATAAGACTCGCTCTTGGATCGTTACTCACACTTGCGTGCGGCTCCAACGATGACGTGTACAGCTGCCCATAGAACCTCTCAATCTCACTCAAAATCTCAGGTGCCCCGGAAACGATGCTGCCACATTCTGTCTTCAGCTTTGACAGTTGGCGCTTTCTGGCAGACAGATCTCTGGCAAAGACTTTGGAGCCTCGGTTCCGCTCGATCGCTTCTTCAATACGAGCTGTATTGAATTTGCGTAAGTCCCGCCGCATGCATTTGGAGATATAAAATGTATAACTAATTATTTACTTGATAAAATAGTTTTCATTTTAACGAAATTTGAAGTGTCCTTGAAATTTGAAATTGGGACTGCCCTCAAAACATTATTAAGTATCTCAAGAGTGTAAGTACAAAGATAAAATTTCTGGCGGAATGTTTGTCCAACTGTTAGAAGGTCGGAAAGATAAACTAAGAGCGAAGTTTTTGTGACATTATGGAAATTTTTAACTAGATAGATAAATAGATCTATCTATTTAAAAATTTCCATCTGCATTAAGATCCTTTTAACCAAACTACATTAAAACTTAAATCAGCCAACACAATTAAGCCGAACGTTACGTAAATTTGCTGTATAGAAAAAATATGTATACCTAGTATATAAAAAATAATATTTGTTTCTTCGTATTTTTGTACGACGGTATGGGATATTTATAGTGTAGCCCTAACTGATTATAATAAAGAAATTAGGAAAATTAAGAGAGCATCGTGAAGGAAGCTATGCGAGGAATTCGAGTCTTTGCCTCGCAGTGCAAGACTACACAAAATACTATCGAAAGCTAAACCTAATCAGATCGGGCCTCTTAAAAAGCCTGATGGTATACTTCACTAATAGTGAAACGGAAACACTGGAGCTACTAGCGTCAACCCATTTCCCAGAGTCACATATGACTCTAGCCTCGAACTCTATCAGAGCCCTACGAAGGCCTTCTAATGAAGACTCGTGTACGGCTTAACAGTGGTAGAACCACGCGGCAGCTTTTGCTGTCGCACGCATGGGCCGGCTCGAACCGGGGTGGTACCACGACCTCACAGAATACCAGCGTGAAGTAGAGGTTTACCTCTGCGTTTCGCTTGGTGAGTGCAGGTGGCCGGAGGCCCATTTTACTGGAAATGAGGCATTCCATCTTAGTCCTCAGGGGTGGCAACGCATCTGCATTTTGATTCGCAAACGAGGATAGATGTAGATGTCTATGGGCCGCAGCAACCACTTACCATCAGGTGGACTGTGTGCTCGTTTGTCACCCTTATCCTATAAAAAAAACGGCTACAAAAATAATAAGGCCAAACTTGGTGCAGTGGGCCGTTGACTCCTTTAAACCATATAAGACAAGTGGGGAGGATGGATATTATTCCATCCTCTTGAATAGGATGGAATAATGCCCATCCATCTACAGAGGGGTATTCATATCCTTCTTCCTTATCTGGTGAGAATCTTCAAAGCAAGTTTTGGATGGGGATATATTCGAGATCGATGGACAATTTATACCTAAGGCGGGTAGAAAATTACCACCTTTACCAAAGTCGTTTGGACCTATAAACCTTTCTTCCTTTCTTCTTAAGACATTGGAAAAGGTTGGTGGTTACTATATATATTAGGGATGTAGCTCTAGCTACGAGACCTATACACTACAACCAGCATGCTTACTGCAGAGGCAAATCTACGGAAACAGCCCTGATCAGTGATATGGACGAGGTCGAAAAAGCGCTCGAGTTCGGAGCGCGTCTTCGACAGTAGCCCTACATCACTGTTGCTTGAGGGTCTGACATCTAAAAATGTTGACCCCACAACCATCATGTGGGTGAAGTCGATGCTCTCAAACAGAATGGCAAAAATAGAGCTGTTTTAAGATTGCAACTACAAGAGGCTGTCCACAAGGTGGTGTTTTGTCACCCCTCCTTTGGACTCTTGCGGTTGACCAATTATTGTACAGGATGACAGACCTCCGCATTGACACACTGAGTTATGCTGATGACCATGTGATCATTGCGAGGGGCTTTTGCAAAAGTACTTTATCATTAATCATACAAAGAGCCCTAAGCACCATGAACAACTGGTGCAGGGATAACAGTTTATCAGTTAATGCTGATAAAACTGTTATAATACCCTTTACTAAAAAGAGACGGTTAGACAAATTAGTCACACCATAACTTAATGGTAAAGTAGTATCTCCACTGAAATTAAGTACTTGGGCGTCACAATCGATCAAAACTAACGTGGAACTCTCACCTTAGAAATGTATGTCATAAGGCTAAAATTGCTTTAGGTGCAGTCGCATGGTCGGGCACAACTGGGGCTTGCATCCCAGTATAACCCTATAGCTCTACAGCAGTATAGTGAGGCCGATTCTTACCTACGCCTCCACTGTCTGGTGTAATAAGGCCAACCAAAAGACGATTGCGGACAGACTAAATGGTCTACAAAGGACTACCTGCTTAATGGCTCATGGAACGATGCGATCATCGCCTGGAACGGCTCTTAGTGCACTTCTATGCTTAACGCCCCTTGATCTTTACTTAGACAAGGAAGCGAGGGCTAGTTTGTATAGAATTAACGCTCAGGGCGGTATGAGCTTGCTTTCCTAAAGATGAGATCCATGCTCGACTCAATCAAGAAAACACCGGTCTTATGAATGCTCTCACATATCATTCGTCCACTATATACTTTAACAAAAACTATACAGTGAAACTACCCTCCAGAGGGGACTGGCTGAATGGACAGGTCATCTGTGAGGTCGGTAGCCTTATATGGTATACCGATGCGTCAAAAATGTGCCTCAACGTACGCTTTGGAGTTTATGGCAAACACCCCAAATTCAAACTTAGTATGAATTTGGGTAGATTCACCACCTCAGACTCACCTCATCTTCCAGGCACAAATTTTCGTAAAAATGGCAATAAAAATACATTTTGTAGCCTCCGCGATCCTCGGACTTAAATCCACTAGATTTTTTTACTGGGGCTGTCTAAAAGAACAGGTGTACTTCAAGCCTATTTCAAGGTTGGAGAAATTGCGCAGTCGTGTGCAGGAGGCCGCTTCAAAAATAACTGAACGGCGCTACGCACGACTTCTTAGAAGAGCATTTATTAGAAGATGTCGAGCTTGTATCTGAGTCGGTGGCAAACAATTCGAACACCTGTTATGAAGTAAAGATTGATTTATGTAGAACTTAACGCTTTTATTATGACAAATTAAGACAAGTTTATTTTTTTCCTTTCTTCAGTTGAATTTATTCTTTTTGCATGTTAACGTTAGATAAAATTATGTATTATGCCGTGTAGTGGCGGTCAAGAATATCCACTACCCCATATCCTCCCGTGGGTGTCGTAAAAGGCGACAAAGGGAAACAGCCAGGAGATGGGCAGCAGCATCTTCCTGATAATAGCCAAATGACAATAAAAAAACTGCGGTTGCCAACCCGCTCGCCAAGCGTGGCAACTATGGCAAATACCCCCCAATGATGAGAGCAACAAAAAAACGGCCCCCAGTCCCCGGCGGCCCCGCTATTCCTGGCTACGGTGGCGACCATGGTAACGGCGGGGCAGGGGGTGCTAAGAATCTCCGGTGGAGGTTCGGTTGCCACCTTAGACGACTCGACCTGGCAACGTACAACGCACGCACCCTGAGGACTGACGAGAAGATCGTGGAGCTGGAAGAAGAGATAGACAAGTTGCGCTGGCATATTATAGGATTATCTGAAGTCCGAAGAGAGGGGGAGGACACGGTAATCCTCGAATCCGGCAACTTGCTCTATCACCGGGAGGGCGACCATCTGTCCCAAGGAGGTGTCGGATTTATCGTCCACAAGTCTCTCGTTAACAACGTTGTAAAAATCGGGAGTGTGTCGACGAGGGTTGCGTACCTTATACTCAGAATCACCAAACGGTATTCGCTGAAGGTCATACAGGTTTACGCACCAACCTCGGCACACCCCGATGAGGAGGTGGAGGAAATGTATGAGGATATCTCTAGAGCCATGCATTCCTCCAAAACCCAATATACGGTGTTAATGGGAGACTTCAATGCAAAACTAGGCACAAGAGAGAACGGTGAGCTGAAAGTAGGGAAATTTGGAATAGGGCAACGGAACCCAAGGGGCCAGCAGCTGGCCGACTTCATGGAGAAAGAGGGACTCTTTATGATGAACTCTTTCTTCCAGAAGCGGCCCCACAGGAAGTGGACCTGGTCGAGCCCCGACGGTTCCACAAAAAATGAGATTGACTTCATTATGACGACCAGACGACAACTGTTCAGTGATGTCTCCGTGATCGCGAGGGTGAAAACTGGTAGCGATCACCGAATGGTTAGAGGCACACTGAACCTAAACGTTAAGTTGGAGAGGTCTCGTCTAATGAAGTCAACGCTCCGTCCCCCTCGTGCTCTGTTTCAAAGTCCCGAAACCTTTCAGCTCGAGTTACAAAACCGTTTTCAGTGCCTAGAAGACTGCAATGAAGTGGACGATATGAATGACAAGCTCGTGGAAACTGTCCATGCGGTTGGAGCTAAGTTCTGCAAGACCCGCCGCAGAAGAACACAAAAGCTCTCCGATCACACTCTTAATCTCATGGCTGTTAGACGGGAGATGAAGCTACATTCTTCAACAGACTTGACAGCATACAGGCATCTGAACAGACAGATCTCCAAATGCATGCGGCGGGACTTACGCAACTTCAATACAGCTCGTATTGAAGAAGCGATCGAGCGGAACCAAGGCTCCAAAGTCTTTGCCAGAGATCTGTCTGCCAGAAAGAGCCAACTGTCAAAGCTGAAGACAGAATGTGGCAGCATCGTTTCCGGGACACCTGAGATTTTGAGTGAGATTGAGAGGTTCTATGGGCAGCTGTACACATCATCGTTGGAGCCACACGCAAGTGTGAGTAACGATCCAAGAGCGAGTCTCATCCGACACTATTCCGAAGATATCCCGGATGTCAGTCTGAGCGAGATTAGGATGGCTCTCCAGCACCTTAAAAACGGTAAGGCCCCAGGCGAGGATGGAATTACAGCGGAGCTTCTGAAAGCGGGTGGAAGACCGGTACTTGAAGTCCTACAGAAGCTCTTTAATTCCGTCCTCCATGGTGGCATTACACCGCAGGCGTGGAGCAGAAGTGCGGTGGTCTTGTTCTCAAGAAAGGTGACAACGCTCTCTTGAAGAACTACAGACCGATTTCCCTTCTGAGCCGCGTCTACGTGCTGTTTTCGAGAGTCATTACGAATCGTCTCGCGCGCAGACTTGACGACTTCCAGCCTCCCGAACAAGCCGGTTTCCGAAAGGGCTTTAGCACCATAGACCACATACATACCCTTCGGCAAGTTGTACAGAAGTCCGAAGAGTACAATTTGCCACTATGTCTGGCGTATGTGGACTATGAGAAAGCCTTTGATTCCGTCGAAATTTGGGCGGTGCTGCAGTCCCTTCAGCGGTGCCAAGTTGACTGTCGGTATATCGAAGTGTTGAAGTGCTTGTACAGTAGGGCTACGATGGCTATCCGAGTACAGAACCAGAGTACGAAACCTATTCAATTGCAGAGAGGTGTAAGACAGGGTGACGTCATATCCCCGAAACTCTTCACCGCTGCATTGGAAGACGTTTTCAAGCTTCTGGACTGGAAAGGATACGGTATCAACATCAATGGCGAGTACATCACTCACCTTCGATTTGCCGACGATATAGTCCTTATGGCAGAATCGCTGGAGGACCTAAGCACTATGCTCAATGACCTCAATAGTGTTTCCCAACGGATAGGTCTTAAGATGAACATGGACAAAACTAAGATCATGTTTAATGTCCATGTCACACCTATGCCGATAGTTGTTGGGAACACTAAGCTCGAAGTTGTTGACGAGTATGTTTACCTGGGACAAATAGTCCGACTGGGTAAGTCCAACTTCGACCGAGAGGTCAATCGACGGATTCAACTCGGCTGGGCAGCGTTCGGGAAGCTACGACACATCTTCTCGAACGAAATTGTACAACCAGTGCGTGTTGCCAGTGATGACTTACGGAACTGAGACGTGGTCCTTCACTGCTGGCCGTATGAGGAAGCTCAAGGTCGCTCAGCGAGCTATGGAGAGGGCTATGCTCGGAGTTTCTCTGCGTGATAAACTTAGGAATGAGGATATCCGCAGTAGAACCAGAGTGACCGACAGTGTGTGAAGTGGCAGTGGGCCGGCCATATAGCTCGAAGAACCGACAACCGATGGGGAAGAAAGGTTCTCGAGTGGCAGCCTCGTACCGGTAGGCGAAGTGTAGGGCGTCCCCCCACGAGATGGAGTGACGACCTGGTAAGACATGCAGGAAGTCGATGGATGCAGGTGGCTCAGGACAGTGTTTTGTGGCATTCTTTGGGGGAGGCCTATGTTCAGCAGTGGACTTGTGAAGGGCTGTAATGATGAATGATGATTATAATACCATTTTGTAAACTATTAACTGCGCATATTTTGAAATAGTTGGTTAAAATTTCATGCTAAAAATTGAATTTTTTTTTTTACAAAAGTACAATATATAGTCATAGTCTTTACTGCACTTCTAATAGAATAGTCTGTGAGGAATAAGAGAACACCAAAAACGCAACGAATTTCATTAATTTGCCGCAGTGATGTACATACATGAAAGTACAGTAAGGTCAATAAAAACATATTTTTAATACCCCTATATTTTTGGCACCGATTGGAATATATATTTTTTTTGTATTTTCATTTGAGCGCCTGATACGTATACTATTAGGCGCTCCAGGATTATCCATTCTTCCTGAGTCACGCTGTATATATATAGATATATATGTATATGATTTAGGAAAACGTTTAGCTTTGGAGTCGAACACAAATTGAAAAAGAATTTCTGCCAAATCACCAAATCAAGTTATAAACATAATAAAGTAGCACTCAAAATATACACAAATTTAATACCTGATATGTCGGAAGCGCGTCATAATTCGCGCCAGCCGCGAGATCTTCTCCCAGCGGCTTTACCTGAAGTCAAATTAAATGCCTCAATTAGTTCAGTACTTCATGGTGCAAGGTCCTCCTGATGCGGCCTTTGGAACAAAACGAACTAGAACCGATAGAACGGACATCAGAGTCGAACACATATTGAACGGGGATGATACGGTAACTGAACGCGTTGTATACAGGTATGATACGTTATTGATACGTTCTAGTGGGCGTATCAGTGTTTACCGTGTTTTACGATCCTGATGCGTGGCACTAAAAAAGACGGTACAGTAAAATCTCAACACGATTTTTATATCATACTTAATGTCGTCTACACTTCGGTTACTGCGGCCATTCTCAACGGAAACTAGCCATCTGCGTAGGACAAGATTATAGTACACGGTGTGTGCGCAAAGACAGGTGCACTCTCTCTATTACTTCGTCTCGATGGCACAGCATTCCAACGGCCGGAGTTAGAGCAATTGCAGGACCAACGACTTTACGTGCTTTCCCAGGCACGCAGGTGAAACACCACTAACTAACTTCCTGACTAAGGGCTGCAACTGAGAATTTCTTGCCAGAAAAACACGATAACTCGCAGACAGAAAGTCCCGAATAGGTCGCCTTATGTGGCACCGATAGAATATCAGCTCTGTGGTTATTCTTTTGGTATTATGCTGTCGGTAACCTTCTTTTTACTGAAATCCAGTGTGAGCTTTGTTTTTTTAGTTATTATTTAGTTACTAGTTTCTCACTTTTTATTTTTATTTTAAATAGTTAAAATTGGAGCACCGAATAAAGATGTTTTGTTTCTTTCTCAACCTCATGATCTGCAGTCATGCTTGTGACAACTAAACCAACCAGGCAGTTTTACAATGAAGAACAAACGAAACTCAACTTTTTTTTTCACTATGTTACTTTATTATTTATTGTTATGTCATATTAAATAATTTATGTTAAGGGAAAATGTAAATTTTTAATTTTTAATATTCTTGGATTTTTATTTGTTTGCGTGTAATAGAAAAATACTAAATTGAACGAAATTAGAATGAAGGCACTACTAATTTAGACTTGACTTATCTGTCAATTTAACACAGTATCAAGTAGTCATTGGATAATCCGGCTCTCGTTATATTCTGATTTAAAGTCTGGTCTAAATTTTAACGGTTTAAACTCTTATTTTTTTCTAATAATGCAGAGAATGTCCAAGCAACATTTTTTGTCTGAAAAGTCAATTATTATTTATATCGACATTCAGAAAGTCATATGAGAATACAAAATTATAATACAATAAAACATATCCTAATATTTTTTCTCGCCTACCCAGACAAGTCGCTGATTGGCAATAGGTATGGCTAATGTATTGGTTATAGGCTGATTGTCATATGCGGCGGCATAAACAATTATCTACTTACTTATTTTATCTACTGAGTTTCGTATCATATACCTAAAATAAATGTGAGGCAAACATGCAAGAAGATACTGACAAGTTCTAAAGTATCTTAGGCATCTAGCAGATAACTGAACTAACATCTCAACTCAACCCTAAAATATGCTAACAAGTATAGGACTACGATGTAGAGACGAGGAACTTTGGGATTGGGACTAAATAATAACACAGCAATGGTCTCTAGACTGCGACAAAACGTTCGATAACGTTCCTAAACTCATAAAAGTCAGTAAGCACTCAAGTTTAGTAATTTTGTTAAACTTATTAATATTTGAATTTCAGTAAGAATCTTGATTGGTTTCAAACGTTGTATACGAATTCGTTTTAATAGTAGATAAAAAACATGGTAGAGTTGGCTTAAAAACAGAAGGTATGCTGTCCAACGAGAAACCTTTTCGTCTCTTACTAATAAATTTCAACAAGCGTTTTAGCAGTATACTGCGGTAAGTAAGACTGCAAGATAATTTAACTTTTACAATTTTTTTATTATGGTATAAAATATTTTATCTTTAAAAACTGGTTACTATCCAAGAGCTAATCCCACGTATATTTTTACAACAAACAACACACGTATTGTGTTTCTATCAAATGTCCATCAAATCGATTCTACTTCAGTCTTGACGAATTATTGCTCGAATTTTGCGACTGATCAAAATAAAACGGAATTTATGCAAGTACTGAATGCCAGATGTTATTATTTTTGTTTGCCGTGCTTGACCTATTCATTTATAAGATAGAAATAACGGAACAAAAAACTTACAACATAGTGATAATAAATAATTAGAAAAATCAAAAACCCGACTGCAAAAAAGACAATTTACAAGTAATGCGCTAAAATGACCGAAACAATATTGAGAATAGCAAACAAAATTAAAATAAACTATAAACAAAGTAAACTCTTCTTCGGTTTAACAGACTATATTATGAGCTGAAAGCCTAAGTTAAATACCCGTTTAGTAGCAGGCGGGACCCATTAATTTTGTTTCGGTTTATAATTTGCAATTGAGAAGTTAAATTACTTAAGCTTTCAGCTCATAATATAGTCTGTTAAACTGAAGTAGAGTTTACTTTGTTTATAGTGTATTTTAATTTTCTTTTCTATTCTTAATTTTGTTTCGGTCTTTTTAATGTATTACTTTTAAATTGACTTTTTTGCAGTCGGGGTTCTGATTTTTTTAATTGTTTATTTTATTTTAGACATTTTTAATGTCCCGACACATTCTTATGAACTAAATTTCATATGATAGCACGAATTCCGACACAAACATGGCCCATTTTTACGCTATCAAAAAAATATTAAACCAATTTATTATTCCTAATTAAATTTAAACATATAAGTTATATATTTTTTTGTAATCCCCTTCTAATTTCCTTTATAACCAAATCTATCGAGTATCAAACCCTAGATAGGTTTGATTAATTTTTTTTATTAACGTATTACTATTTTGCACCAAAATCCGCCATTTTATTTATTTTTCAAACAGCTATCTAAGAACAGTTGGGTTTTTAAAAAGAATGAAACGATACCTTGTTTGTCGAAATCTATCCAGCCGTTTGGATGATACGAGGTAATAAAGAAATTTACAAACATACATACAAGATACGCGCGAAAAACATAACCCTTCCTTGGCAGTCGGGTAAATATTACCTTATGTTTTATTATGTTATGTTTATGTTAAAATAATATAATTTAAAGCTCATATAACATTGTAATATAAACAATTACTGGTCCTTCTTTACTTTTCTACCGACTTCAAAAAGGAGCCGGTACTCAATTCGACTGTATGTTTTTTTTTGTGTGTTACCTCATAATTTCTTTCTGGGTGAACCGATTTCGATAATTCTTTTTTTATTTGAAAGCTGGTGCTTCCCATGTAGTCTCATATAAATTTGATCAAGGTCAGACCAATAGTTATTGAGTTATTTTTAATAACTTATAATGAAGTCGGTTCACTTACGTCAATGGTCTTCTAAGTCTTCTCAGTGGTAATTGACGTTCATAAGACAAAAAAATTTAAAAAGCCCTAAAATTAATTAAATATTTTTGGAATGGAATGTTGTATGTAATGGAAGTGTTTTAAATGCATAAATCGCACAAAAGAACCCAGGCCCCTTTATTCACAGTCTTGTTATTTTTAAAACACGGCTCTCAGCACCGCTGCCAAATATATAGCTGAAATACCGGCCCTTCTATTACATAGAAAATAAAAACGTAACTCAGCGCGTTGTTATTTCCTATATTTAATTAATTATACCTACTAACTAAATAACGAGAAGCTAAGTCGATCTCGAGACGGCCTGCCAGACGAGTCAATGACACATCATGGCTTATCTCTCGGCCTCTCCGATAGCCCGATACGCACTTGATATCGAATTAAATAATTATGTTTAAAATTGATGTAAAAAATGTAAATGTAACTTTTTTGATTTGATAGGTTGATCACTAAAAATGAAAATACGAGTCTGGCAACCTCACTCTTGTTACAACTGTCTGCGTGACTACCTTTAAAATATGTATTCTCACGACAAATTTTCTTTTTTGGGAGATTATCCCAGACCTATAGGCAATTATAACGCTTTACCAGCTCACGCCAATTAGCGCGACGCATAACGTATATGTATCTATTCACAATGCGGCGCGAACCATAGAGTACTCTATGCGAACTCCGTGCGGTAATACACGCCACAGTATAAATATTTGCAGTAGATCAACAGAATTGAAAATTGAATTAATACTTTTCTTCTTTGGTAGTATTTCTTCATTTCAACAGATTTACATTTTATTATTTGGTAGTTTACTTTTATTATTGCGTAAAATGTACATATAATATCACTTTATGGAAGTTATAAGAATCACCTAATTTTATTAATGAAACAAAGTTGTACGGGATACAGTGGATTTAAATAAGCTGAAACAATGACAGGTCATTGTTTCAGCTTATTAAAGTCCACTGCTGAAAAAAGGCCTCTCTAATAGATTGGCTTATAGGGGCGATATTTTAACTTAGTTGCCACGCTTCGCAAGCGATTTGGCAACCGCAGTTTTATTTTTATTTTTAGTCGTTATTAGGAAAACACTGCTGCATATCTCCTGACTTTATTCCCTCTGTTGCATCTTACAACACCCACGGGATGATACCCTAGTAATGGTTATTCTTACACCGCCACTACACGGCCTGGTACACACACAGTAATATAATAAAACAAAAAAAAATTGAACATTCAGAATATAAGAAAAATATTTAATTGGATATAAAAAAACCGGCCAAGTGCGAGTCGGACTCGCGCACCGAGGGTTCCGAACAAATCTGTAGGTATATACGTTAAAAATTATTAAAAATATTTTTAATATATGATGTAACTAAAAATTTATGCTTTTCGCAATTTTTCCTTTATCTGTGCTATAAAACGTTGCTTCGTAACAAATTTCAAGATTCTGAGTTCACGGGAAGTACCCTGTAGGTTTTGATTCCCTTGCGAATGTCGAAAATTTACGGCATAAATGGCAGTATCTTTTGATTGCGTTGGCTTAGAAGTTTGATTTTTTCAGAGCTCTAAGGGACAGTAGACTTGAGTATTTGATATAAAT